GCGGCTATTTAACTCTTCAGTGAGCAGATTAGAATCATTTTCAAAAGGACATGTTTTTAATAAACAGGCAGAAAATTTTGTGCCTTTTTTTTCAAAAATCCTTTCATTATTTTCCATTTCAGTACACCTGAATATATCCTAAATTTGAACAAAATCCGTCGAGAAACCTCGGAAAATGGTCAACGTATGGTATGGATGTACGTACGTATGCACATACATACAGATTAATCTTTAAAAGTTGCTTAAAATGATCTAAAACGTCAACATTTAATAACATTTTAACATGTCCAAAGAACGGTGATCGCAATAGCCACCTAGCTCGAGCTAGAAAGCTAAAAATCTATGTTTTTCATGTGCCATAATTTTAAACCTTTGCCGTTTATTAAAGACTGATCCACGAGATCGTTTATAATATATTACTGTCTGAGTGTCTACCCGTCTGTCTGTCGATCTGTCTGTCCGTCAGTCTGTCTGTCTGTCCGTGTGCAGTTGCGTACGATAACTTGTGTATTTACACAACACAATTTTGTTTTCTGTTAGGATATTTAAATGAAATTTTGTATGTAGGCACCTGAATAAAGGTAAAACTAGTGAATACCGAATCAAATAAATTTGTTTTGCCACTTGTGTATTTTATCTGTGGTTTTGCGCATGCGCAATCCGATCCGACTCAAAACACGTAAACAATTATTGCGCATGCCCAGATCCACATTCGTTATCTGTAAACCAATTCTTCTAAAATTTTAGGATAGTATAGGTACTTCTTATAAATCGAAATTGGAGTAGCAGGTCAAAAATGGATTGCACATATAACTTTCTAACTTCTTATTTGTGGTCGGATTTTTACGAAATTTTAGCAGAAGTTGGGGAAGTGGAAATGCGATTTTTGTAAATCGTCAATAATTACTTTTTTAACTTGTGAAAATTTGGTGTGCCATAATGTATTTTGTACTAGTTTGTACAATAAGCAACAAATTTTGTACCATTACTTTTTAACCGCCAGTAACATGTCAATTTTGGAGGTGCAATTTAACGGTACAACCCCGAGTATACAAATTCATACAAATTTTTATGCCATAATTTTGTACTCATTTTGTACTAATTTGTGCCGTAAGCAACAAGCTTTGTATCACTATTTTTTAATCGCTAGGAGTGCTAGGACCAAATCTATACAGGGTGTTCATTTGAAAACTTCCCACCAAGGATTTATCGAAAACCACTAATTAAGGGAAAAAACGCCGAGACACGTCAAAAGATTTGTTAAGATGGACAACTTTTTAACCAAAAACTTCCACCCTTTGCCCCCCAGAGCCATTCCCTTAAAAATGTTAAATGACAAGTGGTATTGAGTTGTTTGAAAGGTCTTTCGAAGTCCTTTAATTTGACGTTTCATTTTTGAAAATCGGTCGATTCGTTTTCGAGAAAATTAAAAAAAATTTTATTTAATTTATTTAATCGACCTATCTTAATTTGTTCAGATATAAAACAAAAACACACGAAAATATCACTTTTATTTGTTGCTATGGGAAAGAAAGAATTTAATTTGCTATCAGTCCTTTGTTTCTAATTTTCTCGAAAACGAATCTATCTACACGCATCTTGTTGAGCAGGCCGTTGTACCGTTAAGTTGCAACTACAAAATTGATTTGATAGTGGCTTAAAAGGTATTGGTACAAAATTTGTTACTTGTGGTACAAATTAGTACAAAATGAGTGCAAAATTATGGGGCAAGCATTTATATAAATCTGTATACTTGGAGTTGTGGCATTAGGTTGCAACCCCAATGTAGATTTTGTCCTAGTTGTTAAAGGGTAGTGGTACAAAACTTGTTAGTTACGGTACAAATTAGTATAAAATGAGTACAAAATTATGGTACAACAATTTTCAAGAATCTGAATACCTACTTGGGGTTGTGGCGTTAAGTTGCAACCCCATTGTAAATTTGGTCCTAAGGATTAAAAGGTAGTGGTACAAAATTTGGTATCCATGGTATAAATATAAATATAAATATAAATGAGTACAAAATAACGGTATTAATAGATTTGCTAATTTTATTAGTGTGAGTTACAACATAATGAACTCCGGAAGTAATACCTACTAAATAACTTAAGGTTTACAGCAATTCTTTAGAAAATTTTAGTTTTGAATATGACTGTTCAAAGGGAAGCCGCATGTTCCGTCCTGCACGTTGGGGTTGTTAGTTTAGAATAAGTTTCACTCATCTTTCATTTTTTATAATTGTTATAGTTAATATTTTAAATCTTGCCTTATTAATAAAACTCGAGAAAAGATGGTTGACACAAAATAGCATTAAATTCTCATGTTAACGTTATAACTAGTTGTTTTT